GCACCAGCAGCACCAGGACCAGCACCAATACCAGCAGCACCACCAGTACCAGCACCAGCAGCAGCGCCGTCGCTCCACGTCCCTAGCTCTGCTGCACGCTTGCCCCGTGGTCCAGCCACCTCCACCCCGTGATGCCCAGGCATGGGACTTTGCTGTGACAACCGGTGACGGTCTGGCTGTTCGGAGCACTGGGAATTGCCAGGAAGGAGCTTTCCCTTGGAAGCTGGCGTAGGCTCTGCGGTATTTCTCGTTGTTGTTGTTGAGCTCCCAACCTTTCAGCCTTGCACGTGCTTACATAAAGTTTGGGCGAAACGAGGCCGGCTCTTGCTTTGTCCGGAAACCATCACAATTCCCAGGGCCATCACCTGCTTCTCATTTAATCCTAAGAAAATCCAGACAGGGTCAAGCCAGAGGGTATTTCTTGCTTTACCCACCTTTGAGCAAATACTAGCTGGCCTGAATTGCTGTTTTTCAGCTGACCTGGATCCCCGGTTTGTAACAGAGGACCAGAAATAGATACAAGGACTAGAAATAGAAAATAAGGCGCTGCATTGTCAAACCACATTATGCTTTTAACTTCCAACCCTTGGGTTCCAAATTTACCTCTCGACTTCCAGACTGTCTGCCGTATTATCACGGGACCTTCCAGCGACTGAAGTTCATACTTGTTGCCATTTTTCCCTTTTATCTTCTCCAGGCCCCAGCTGTGCCGAGACCCTGCCCACGATCATCTCTCTGCCCTGGGTAAGACTGTGGGTTTTGTTATTTCCCTGTTAGCCATACCCTGTTGTGCTGTCCCCCTGGAAAGAGCGAGTTTTAAACACGTTTGCAGAACTGTGGACAAAGTTAATTGTGCAGAAGAAACCTCCTGGAACTACTGCAATATTTCCTTTTTAATACCTTCTATGTCCACTGTATCCAAGTGCTTCTGGCTACTGAAGATTTTGCCAAGACAGAAAAACTGAGAAAATACAGCATAGTCCTGGATAATGATGCTCACCTTGGCAAGTGAATGCCATAAGGATCAGTACATTTCAGCCCTGACTTGTCTTGGATTTCCCTCTGGCGGGACACGTTCTAAAGGAGAAGCACAGAAATAAATCCCTCACCTTTTCCCATGCCTTGTACACCATCTCGTACAACGTATAATTCCCAAAAGCACGGAAAAGCACACGTAAATGTAATTTATCGGTGCGATTTCATCTCTGGTTTCAATTTTTGTTGACAGCTGCAGGTAAGGTATTCTTTTGGAAAAGAGACAAAAATTTTGCTGTTCAGATTTTATGTATTTTTACATCCAGTGTGTCTGCGAGAACCTGTAACGGCATGCAGCAATACCAGATCATAGAATCACGGAATGGTTGGGGTTGGAAGGGACCTTAAAGATCATCCAGTCCCACCCCCCCTGCCATGGGCAGGGACACCTTCCATAGCCCAGGGTGCTCCAAGCCTCATCCAGCCTGGCCTTGGACACTCCCAGGGATGGGGCATCCACAGCTTCTCTGGGCAACCTGTCCCAGTGCTCCCACCCTCTGCGGGAAGAATTCCTTCCTGATATCCAATCTAAACCTCCCCACTTTCAATTTAAACCCGTTACCCCTTGTCCTGTCCCTACAGGCCCTTGATGCAGATGGCTTTTACTGTAAAACTGGACTCCCGAGTCATGGGAGGAATTGGTGCTGACTCCACAGGTTTCTGTGGAGTGTTCCAGCGGGGGCAGACACTTGGAAAGGATTCCTGCAGACTGGTTCATGTAAGACCGACTGAATGCCGACCCGCTGTCCCGGAGCAAATGAAAGGCGAAGCAGTAGTTGAGCAAGGCAGGGAGATAGACGAGGATTTCTGGAGCTTTCTCCAGACCTGGGTTCTGCCCTCCTTGTATCCCTTCTCTCCTACCGGAGCAGGTTTCATAAAGCCACAGCTTACCGTTTTCCATCCTGCCAGGGCTACTCCCTCCGCGCAGGCAGAGACTTGCACCTTTCCCGGGCAGATGCAAACCACTCGCAGGACCGAGGTGCCCCTTCCCTTCAACAGCGACGTCTTTGCAGCTTCCTCTCAAAGTGCCGATTGTCCGTGTCCTCCCTCTCTCTCGTTCTTGCCAAAGGTGACTTCGGCTCCCGGGGAGAGACGCGTCAGGCAGAGTCTGGGTTCTGGCAGCACCTCCCTTGCGCAGGACGGAAAAGGGCTGGACGTGCCTCCCGCAGGTTCGCTCCCAGCCACCGAGGAGGGAGTTTACAGTGTTTTTTGGCTGGAGTGCTCAGCTTCAAGACTTCACTTGGTTCCTCACGGCTTGGAGCGATATGAAGCCAATTGGAAAAGTGCTTTGTGCTACGGGGATCGTAGCTGGGCTCCTGGCGTTCTTCTGGAAAGACCCTTTTAACCCAGGTAAGCTCACCAGGGGGGTCATTCCAAGCTGGGATATAAGTCATGGAAGAGAAGGGGTTGGGTTGAATGTCTCTTGACTGGTGGTCTCATTCCTGCCCACAGTCTTACGAGGGTTGGTGGCCCCAAAACAATGCTTCATTCCCAGAAATACAGAGCAGTTGGAAACAAAGAGGAAGGCAGACTGGTCTAACAGCACTTAGAGGGGCTCCTGCTGTCTGTCTGGGGAAAAATGGCGTGTACTGTGCCACTACTTTCTCTGTTTTGATCGCAAACTCCTTGGGGTCAAGAACTGTCTCTCTAGCTGTGCAGTGCCCAGCACAGGAGGGCTGACGTCTCTCCTCGCTGGTGGCAAAGAGTAAGTGATACAGCCAAACCCAGGAGGCCCAGGGCCTGGTTTATGTTGTACAGCTTGTTGTAACGTCAAAACCAACTTCATCCTTGAAAAATCCTGGCCTAGGAACCCAGGCAAAGGGCGTGTGATGCAGTTATGTTGCATAACCGCATCATTATTCCCTTGCACCGACAGCTGGGGCGTAATGTCCACAGCGACCACGCAGTAATAAAACACCGCACCCTGGGGCAGCTGGGCCTGGGGCTGTGGCAACCGCACTTTTATCGATTATCCAACCCCACGGAAGAACGCTGAGCTGGGGATGGGAATCATAGAATCATAGAATCACTAGGTTGGAAAAGACCTTAGAGATCATCCAGTCCAACCGTATCTGTCCACCACTAAACCATATCTCTCAGCACCTCATCCACCCGTCTCTTAAACACATCCAGGGATGGTAAAGCCTGCTAGCTGGAAGACTGACGGCAGACATGCCAGCCTGGGTGACGTGAGTCAGCCTGCGGCTCCTGCTCCATGACGGAAGTGCGAGCCTGGCTGAGGGTGCCGGCGGTGGCACGTGAGAGCCTGGCTGCCCGGTGCTGGGGCTGGCTGGGGTAGCCAGGCTCCCTGCTGAGCCAGCCCACGGCCCATCAGCCTGGCTGGCTCCTTGACAGGAGGTGGCTGATGACAAACCTTTTTCTTATAGGCACCTATCAGAAGGGGAAAACAGCTCATTCGTCAAAGATTAGGTGTTTTTTAATTATTTTCAGTCTAGCAGGAATTGGAAGGTAGTGTTAATCTCGCGGCTTCTTCAGGTCAGTCCTGCCTCTTCCCTCGTCGGGGGAGGGGATTCTGCCCCTGGACTCTGCTCTGGTGAGACCCCACCTGGAGTGCTGCGTCCAGCTCTGGAGCCCTCAGTATCAGAAGGATATAGACTGGTTGGAGGGAGTCCAGAGGAGGCCACGAAGATGCTCAGAGGGCTGGAGCACCTCTGCTATGATGAAAGGCTGCAAGAACTGGGCTTGTTCAGCCTGGAGAAGAGGAGGCTCCGAGGAGACCTCATTGCAGCTTTCCAGTATCTGAAGGGGCTACAAGGGGGCTGGGAGAGGACTTTTTACAAGAGGCTGTAGAGACAGGACAAGGGGTAACGGGGACAAATTGAAAACAGGGAGGGTTAGATTAGATATCAGGAAGGAATTCTTCACCGGGAGGGTGGGGAGGCACTGGGACAGGTTGCCCAGAGAAGCTGTGGATGCCCCATCCCTGGATGTCTTCAAGGCCAGGCTGGATGTGGCTTGGAGCAACCTGGTCTAGTGGAAGGTGTCCCTGCCCATGGCAGGGGGGTTGGAACTAGATGATCTTTAAGGTCCTTTCCAACCCAAACCATTCTGTGATTCTATGATTCTATGATTTGGAGAAGCATCAGGACTCTTGAGCACTTACACTTTTCTGCTTCAGAGGTCTACCGGTAGCTAAGGCCAGCGCCTCTGCTACTTCCTTCCCTCACTGCTGTGTCTTTTATCTTCTTTCCCATAAAAAAGAGAGCTTGGCTGGTGCCCGCGTTCTCCTGACTGGAGCCAGTGCTGGGATTGGAGAGCAGATGGCGTACCATTATGCCAGATTTGGTGCTGAAATTGTTTTGACTGCCAGGAGGGAAGCTGTGCTGCAGAAGGTAAGAACTTCCTTGTACGAGGGCAGACATCAGGGATTTGGACTTTCGCTAAAACAGCAACAACAAAGGATTTGTTAGGTTTTCCTTCAAAATTGCTGCTGAGCAAAACCAGCTTGGTTACTTTTAAAATTCTCCCCACTCAGGTAGGAACATGCCAGCCCTGTGTTCTGAGCCCGATTTGCTGGCAGCATCCTGGGCCATTCCTTGCTGTAGCTCATCTCCCTAGGGAGAATTGGCAATGGCACCAACCTGTCGGAGCTAAAGGCCTGTCTGGACGATGCTCGTAGTCATGGGGTTTAGCTTTAGGTAGTCCTGCGAGGAGCAGGGATTTGGACTCGACGATCCTTGTGGATCCCTTCCAACTTGAGATATTCTCTGATTCTGTGAACTACAACTCCTGTGCAATACTGTGCAGCTTTTCAGGGTCCAATCACTTCTATTTGTAGCCGTTTTGTTAAAGACTTAAACCTTTTTGTAGGTGAAATAATTTTTGACCACCTCAAATAGATGAGACTTCCATAACCCGCCGTTTATAAACTGGGACACTCATTAGAGAAGGTGTGACGTAAACTGTGGAGATGCGTGCCTTGGAAGGGGAGTTCTTCGCTATGACATGCTGCCAACGGGGAGTTGGGGACAATGAGCCTAAGAACAGTTCCCAACGCCTGTGTCATTGCCGGGCACCGTCACACGCTCAACAGGGCGAAGGCACTGTGAGAGGTGAAGAGCAAAGATTGATCAAAAACTTGATGTAAAGCAGAACCCTAATTCCAGAAGAGTTGCCCTGAAGACTCTCTTTTTCAGGTGAATCTTGGTCCTTTGCCAAGATAGATTGAATCTGCGTCCTGCTAAGAGTTACCTCTGTTTAGCTGTCAGGTTGAACAGTCCGTATGCCAAACGAGCCCTCCGTGGGCTGAATAGCAGTAGATTTAAAATAAATATGTGTTTCTATCCAGAACTGACTTTCACAGTAATATAAGGACAAAACAGTGCCCTTATTTCTCTTCTTCTCTCCCCACTCCGTACCGTTTAATCTCTGGGGCTGTCTTCTTTTTCAAGGTGGTGGCGAAATGCCTGACACTTGGAGCGAAGAAGGTATTTTATATCCCTGCAGACATGTCTTCCCCTTTGGAGCCTGAAAAGGTGGTTCAGTTTGCTGTCCAAAAGCTGGGTAAGCAGAAGAAAAATGGCAGGTACTGAGGAGAGAGAACAAACCTTGCTCCTCACTCCGGTTTATACCGTGTTCCTTTTTTCAAGGAAGGTTTAGCTCACTCCCAGCCTGGTCACCTGTGCTGGGTTTAGTCAGGAAAGAGTTAACTCTTTTCACAGGGGCTGGCATGAAGCTGGGTACCTGGGTTTACCCTGAGAAAAGGACCGATAAGGTGTGTTTTTAGCTGGTGCTGGGCAGTGCTTGCTCCAAATTCAAGGTCTCTCTCAGCTTCTGATACTGCAGCTG